GGGCGCCGCGGCGCAGGGCGGTAACGTCGCGCTCTCTCCGCAGGAGTGCCGGATCGCCCACCCCATCGTGAAGTGCACGTACTGCCGGTCCGAGTTCCAGCAGGAGAGGTACGGGAGGGTGCCGCCGGCGGAGCGGCCGGTCCGCGGGCAGAACCCTTTGTAAGGGCTCCGACTCGCCGGCGAGACGCTCGGAGGGCAGATCTGCGCAAAATAAGCTGCCCGCCCTCCGCAGCGCGGGAGCGTGTCGCGTAAGCGCGGCTCGGCGTTAGATTTGTGCCCTCGTTTGTTCACCGCCTTGACCACAGCGTGTGTTTGCATGTGTGTTTTCCAGTAATTGCATGGAAAAGAATTTCGAGGTGTGTATTTGTCGCTGAATTCAACATTATGCAATTTTATCTTTAGCAAAACTAATACGATATGCAAGAAATGCGCCCAAAACGTGAAGCAGTTTGGAACGGTGAGTAGGCTCTTGGTTCTAAGTATTGAAGTTGAGTCCATTCATGTCTTGAATTTTTAAAAAAAAAGTTCTCTTGCAACTAAACTTCTTACTTTGTTTTGGAGAAAAGATTACCTTTGAGAATGCAGTTCTTGATTTCCTTCGTGCCTTAAAGTTTCTTTTTTCAAATCAAAATCCCTTCCGGTTATATGCAGTTTAACAGTTATGAATAACTGCAACATAGCTATTAATAGCAAACCCCATGTTATTTCACTTTATACATGTAAAGTTATCCTTTGCATATTCTCATAAATGCACATTTGATGGCATAAAAGGCCATTAGATATCTGTGGTGTTAATGAGTGGTGAATGTGAAAATACAATACCATGTACTTTATATTATGTAAGTCTTAAAAATTTTAAGTGCATGTTAATAGTGTTAAGCTATTGAGTGGAAAGGAGTTTTTGAGTATTAGCTGTATTCACATTACTTTTCGTTTTCTCATCTTGAACTTCAGCTTCAATTCTGTTAGAAAAATTATTTTTTTAATATATGAATACAGACATTGTATCTGAGCGCCCTCCAGATACTAGTTTATAGGCAGTATCAAGACAATCTTGTGAAACAAAAGTGCTTGACAACGCTTTGTTGACATTTGTGAAGCAAAATACTTGACCACGTTAGATGGATAAACCATGTTAGATGAAATTCAGCTTCTTTGAGAAACGTAACAGCTGTTAGTATGTAGTCAGGCCTTTGTGAATGTAAATGGAAACTGAACAAAGGCCATTCTGTCAAAAGCTTAAAATGTAGCAAAATAAAGTGCAAGACACATCCAACTGTGTTTCTCAGTAGTTCATAAAAAAATGGCACTGCATGGAAGGTAATCGGCCATTTTTAACCTGTGACAACTGACAGCAATTTTATTTTTTGGTAGTGTATTATGCTAGTTGAGTGTTTGACACAAAAGTCGATAAAACCCAACCTGATGGTACCTGAAGCTGGTGGGTTTATAAGTTTCCTGCAGAATTGCAGGAATGTGGACACTAATCTTAGAGCTGTAGGGTTATCAAGTCCCTAAGTAATGAAAGGGAGAGGGTAGTTTTCAGAAACTTAGAGTCTAAAAAATTACTCAGTTGCTCTTGTTTTAAAGTTTAAATTCTTTAGTAATGTAGTAAAACAGAGAGAAAATGTCATTATATATGTAACAAAAAAAATAAAAGAGCCTGGTCTGAAGGTGAGCAGTCACACTGTGTGTTTCTTTCATTGAGTATGTACCAGGGTTTTCTTGGAAGGTCCAGCCTGTTTTTGACCAGGAGCATCATTTTAGGGGAGAAATTTAGTGCTGAAGATAGAACTGGTAGGAAAAAGGTTCTCTAAGATGGGTTACGCCGTTCCCAAGTAGTTTAGAAGCATCATTTTGTGATTTGAAATACCTGTGTTGATTAAAGCAGCTGTAAATACATTAACCTCAGCTCACCTTGCTTGTTTTTCAGCCCAAGCCGTGTCAGTATTGTAACATTATCGCAGCCTTCATTGGCACCAAATGTCAGCGTTGCACCAACTCAGAGAAGAAGTATGGCCCACCTCAGACCTGTGAACAGTGCAAACAGCAGTGTGCTTTTGATCGAAAAGAGGAGGGGAGAAGGAAGGTAGGCTTTGTTCCACAGCTGGAATGGCTGAGACTGCCAGTGGGCAGCATTCCTCCTTCAGATCAGAAGGATTAACAGGAGCGTATCTTCACCTCACTGATGTTAAAGTTGCTGTGCTATACAATATTTGAATTAAACTTCACAACTTGCAGTTGTTATGTTAGCTACTGAGCTACCTTACGCCAAATCACTGTTTTTTTTTTAAATAATCTTAAGCATAAGTTGACAGTTGTAGCTGGAGAACAGATGTTAAGCAGCTGAACAGTACCTGGTGCTTTGATGATTTTTTTTTTTCCTTCTTTCCCCTCATCCATTGGATCTTATGTACGTCCATAGCTTGAATCTGTCACTTTACCTCTGCTGATTAGCCTGCCTTGCCTTAAAGTACAGCACCAGAGAGGTAGGCTGCTCTGAGCAGCCCTTTGTGTTCTGTTTTCTTAAATAGCTTTGGTGAGTGCCACTTTGTCATTCCAGAAGGTGCTAAGGAAATGACCTCAAAAGCCTCTTGCTTGAACCCAAGACTAATGCTGTTTTTACATAAGAATTGATGTGGTACAAGTAACACATTGGCCTCACATCTTGATTCTGCCTGAACTGCAATGGATTGAGGGAGGGTACATGGTGTCTAAACTAAAAATGATTTCTCCCTTCAAAAAGTTACTGTCACTTCTGTGAGCAATTCAAACATTTGGTAAGACTGCTTTGTAGAGTAACTTTAAGTGACAAAGAATAAATGGAATAAGGTTCACTTTATTAAAAGATTATGTGTACATTGGAGATGTGGTAGTGCTCTTTCGTGCCAAAGAGATGTCTGGATTTTTCTGAAAAGTAACAGATGCAACAAATTTTTCTGGCAAATATTGAAGTACATCTTGCCAGTGCAAGTATACTTGGAAAATAAACCCTGCTGTGAATTATTTCCCAAAAGGTTGACGGAAAGTTGTTGTGTTGGCTCTGCACACTTTCCTACAAGAGAGTGCTACAGAAGACAAAGGAACAGAGGAAGAGCCTAGGATCTTCACATTCTAACTCGTCGTCTTCATCTCTCACTGAGAAAGACCAGCATTCAAAACACCACCACCACCACCACCATCATCATCGTCACAGCAGCGGTCATCACAAGTAAGTATTAAAAAACTGAAGTAGCTGTTGCTGCCTCTTCTGTGTTCTGTCAGTACTGTGATAGAATCAAAGGAAATAAGAAATGCTATTTAAAACAGGGCATCAAAAGCAGTAGCAGAATGTTATTCTTCCGTGGTCTGTCAAAATCCTATTTTTACAGTTTGGATGAATAAGGTCAACAAAAAGCAGAAATTCTTCAGGATCAGCAAACTAGTCAATGATAACATGGTAGCAAGTTCAGAAAAGGAACCCAGAGAATGGCCACAGACACAAGTTACTTCAGGATAAACTTGTATTTGGCTTTCTAAGCAGTTACTGCTGTGTGCTAACTGCTACTTCATGTGCACCTACCACAGGTTAAAAGATGTGTATTGGCAGTGAGCACAGGAGCAGCTCCTTGGCTCAGAATCCCCACCCTCACTCCCTTCACTCTGACTTGTTTGTGCACATCTGCTTGCAGAGGAGCAGAGAAGCAGAAGCACCGGTGTGTGACCACCCTCAGTTTAGGACCAGTTTGCGTATCTCTGCTGTTTTTTATAATCAAATCTTGCTGAAATAGGCAGTTTGTTAGTGACTGAGATGGATACAGGAAAACAACACAGTTCAGTTACTGGCACCCTGGTAACATTTCACATGGTTTTGTCCCATCTTCTGCATCTTTTCTCAGCCTGGCATCTCTAGCCATGGCACACAGTGTCCCGGCCTTAATGTACCTGCCCAGTTTATTTAGTCATAAATCCTAGAACTGCTTTGGGCTTTATGCCAGTACAACAGTAGTCACGATTCTTATTTTCACAGATAAGCTTAGGGCAGCATAGCCCTAGAACAACTTTATTCTTGTGTTGCATAGTAAATACTGCAGCTGCAATGGTAATCACTCTGACCGTAGGCACACAAACACTTTCATTCTAAGCTTCACTTTTCTAGTGCTTATAATTTTCCATTCTAACTGAAATAAGAGTGACTCAAAGATAGAAGTAAATGAAGAAGGAATGATATTGGAATGAGAAGAGAAATGTACATATTTTCACTTAAAAAAAAAAAGAGAAAAATAAGATTTTGGGGTTTAGGAATTTGAAGAAGATTATTCTTGTCATACAGAGTTATTTTACTGTTCCAGTTCTTTCAAATCTCTGCTGAAAATTGAGTTACAACAAGCTAAATCTAATTTAATGCATATGGCAGTGATACAGTAAGTATTAAATTAAAAAAATTAGTTCTTTACTGCAGAATAGAGCTCCTATATACTCAGGTGTTAGAAAAGCAAGCACAGCTCTATACAGATCACAGTGTTTCTCATTTGGCCCCTTTTTTTCTGTAGGCTGCCATGGGTCCATTATGTCTGGTGCAATAAATGACTCTTTTTCCTTGTCCATTTCAAGTTATTGTTAAGATGAGACAAGAAGGCAGAGATGTAGATTCATTGAACTGTTTTATTCCCTTCAGTCTTCTACACTCTACCATTCTTGTATCAATGGTGTTTACTAGTTGCTTTTGAAATGCTTGGGAAACAAATGGTCATACCTGTGAAACTGCTATTTTCAAGGATCCAGAACTTAATTATGCCACCACATAAGCACCACTTCAGGCAATGTTCATAAGACAGCATGGGAATCCCAGGAATGCTGCTTTAGACCACCTTACTGAGTACAAGTCTAGCAATATAAAGTTCACAAAAATTGGGAGGTACCAGCAAAAGAGGGGAAAAAAAAAAAAAAAACAAACCCAAAAAAAACCCCCAACACAACAGCAAAAACCAACAACACGTTTACCCATCAGTCCTGAAGTTTGCCCCTTTTGTCCTACACTAGTGTAAACATTTAGTCAGGAAATACTTTTATAGCATTCTGACATATTAGAGTGGTCACAAATATGGCAGCTAATACGACTGTCCAGCTGCAAATTTCTACTGTTAACTTTCTTTATTAAAAAAAACAAAGGGGGGTGGATTTTTCTCAAGTACAGATACCATTCACAGACGTAGAAATCATGGCATGTTTGGTCAGTCACCAAGTACATTTCACATATTTCAGAATCAGCAGTCTGAGTCCAGAACAAGATCAGGGACTATGGAAACAGAGGTAAATATGATATTTATTAATTTCCTTTTAATTTATCTTTCAGTTTTCATTGAAAGGACTGTTTTTTTCTTGCATTTCTGGCTAATCTCTAGCATTCCAGCTAGGAGCATGAGTTAGATAATTTATATGTGCCAAATGGTGATATTAGAGGGTTATATAGTATGAGGCTTTAGGTCTACATTTTGTTTGATTTCAGCCATAAATCCTCTGCAGCTATTCAGAATGAAACTCCAAAGAAAAAACCCAAACTGGAATCCAAGCCATCAAATGGAGATAGGTAAAGTTGTATTTTTGTAAAGCTGAGCCATTTCAACGAATTAGAACAGTGATTTTTGGCCAGTTGTTTGGCTGATTTTTTTTTTTTTTTTTTTTAATTTGTCTGAAGAATGAGGGAGGTGAAACTGTTGTCCAGACAGACACGTTGTTGGGTGGCATCTGAGTCCTGTCAGTCAACTAAATTACTTTATTGGCAGAAAAGTGGCACTGTTTTCTTGCTTTTAAGTTGTTTGGGGCAAAATTAAATAAAGCTTATGTATGAGGCAACAGTTGTCCATGAAACAGTATTCCCTGACATGGGTGTTTTGTCAGCTGGATGTAGCGTTGAACCTGTTGCTTTAAGCTGACCTAGTAGCTAGAGGAGTCTTCTGGACCTTAGTGTGTGAGACTGAATCTTTATTCTGTCTCTGGCCAATAAAGTATAAGTGGCTGCTTCAGTCCAAACTTATCCCCCACAAAGCTAATATTTAATTATATTTCTGCAGGTGTATGTAATGTGTGCCATTAGTAAGGTAATTTGCCAGTTGCAGCCATTTCTGTCAGGTACATACTTTTCTTGCATTAGTCCTTAAGGTTTTTTGTGGAATTATTAATTAACCATTTTGAAATTTTTTAAAATGTACTTTTTAAAAACGTTGATGTCACAGGTAACTATTGGTTTTTATTTTTAGTAGCTCTATAAATCAGTCAGCAGACAGCGGAGGAACTGACAACTTTGTCCTCATAAGTCAGCTGAAAGAAGAAGTAATGTCACTTAAACGTCTTCTGCAGCAAAGAGATCAGACTATCTTAGAAAAAGATAAAAAGGTAAAAGTTGCACCTGCTTAATAAGAACTTTATAATTTTGTTTTCTATTTTGTAGATTCCTAACAATGTCAAAATGGTGTGATAAAACGAAAATCGGATGAAATTTTTCTTATATAGCAACTAGTCAGATCTTAGCATTTAAAGGACAAGTTTGGGACTTGTATCATGAATCTATTTTGGCACTAAGTCAAAGAGGAATTTCATCTTCCATCACTTCAGCCATCCAGAAGCTAGCTGTCTGGTTCACTGTAATTCAGACTGTGTGCCACAGGTGATGGATAAAATGCCAGGAAGTGGTTTCTATGTTTTACATATTCTAAACTGAGTCACAGCAAAGATCCCAGATGCCTACACGGGCTGCTGGGCACACAAGATAAGAGGAGGCTTAAGAGTAGTAACCGTTCTGAGTTTAGTGTAGCTTTTGTTTACTTTTTAGCTAAAGTGACTGTAGCCATGATTAATGAGTTGGTATCCAAATTTATATATACGTGTATGAAAATTAATTCGTTTGATTTTAACAGGTTGGTAGCATATGTCTAGTGTAGGTTATCAAGTCTTTGTAGATGGTCAGAGACTAGAAGAAAAGCTTGAATTACATGCCTGGCAATCCACAAAAGTTATGGGAAGGAGCCAGACCCTGATGGCTGCAGTGAAACTCATACAAGAGGTTCATCCTTTGAACAACCTAACGACTAACAAGAAAACAAAAATAACTACTAATATGTACTTTGCTCCACCTTTATTAGAGCATATTTCTCTGCCATCTCATTAACTGAATGCTTATAAGACACTGTAGTAGTGGCTTTAGAATGTCTGTTCAGGGTTGACTAGGTTATGGAATGGTATTAAAAATAAATTTATTTTTAAATAAAATTTTGATTATAGATGCATGGTGGCATATCATAACATTGGTGGTTAAGAAAGGCACATTGATCCTGAAAGGAAAATGTTTTCACCTTTAAACTGTAGTTCAGTATCTTCTATGTGTTCCTCAGGCAACACTACAAGTTTGGAGATGAGTGGCTGGAAAGCTGCCGGGCAGAAAAGGACCTGGGGGTGCTGGCTGAACATGAGCCAGCAGTGTGCCCAGGTGGCCCTGAAGGCCAATGGCCTCCTAGCTTAGATCAGCAACAATGTGGCCAGCAGGAGCAGGGAAGTGATCGTGCCCCTGTACTCTGCACTCGTGAGGCCACTGCTCGAGTACTGGGTTCAGTTTTGGGCACCACAGTATAAGAAGGACACTGAGGTGCTGAAGCAGGCCCTGAGAAGGGCAGTGAAGCTGATGAGGGGTCTGGGGAACATGTCTTATGAGAAGAGGCTGAGGGAACTGGGATTGTTTAGTCTGGGGAAGAGGAAGCTGAGCAGAGACCTCATTGCTCTCTACAACTACCCAAAAGGAGGTTGTAGTGAGGCTGGTGTTTGTCTCTCCTCCCAGGTTACTAGCGATAGGATGAGAGGAAATGGGCTTCAGTTGTTCCAGGGGAGGTTTAGATTGGATATGAGGAAGAATTTTCTTTTACTGAAAGAGTGCTGAGGCATTGGAACAGGCTGCCCAGGGAGGTGGTGGAGTCACCATCCCTGGAGGTGTTCAAAGGACCTGTAGACGTGGTACTTTAGTACATGGTTTAGTGCCTGTGGAAGTTGATGGCTGAACTAGATGAGCTTGCAGGTCTTTTCCAACCTTAATGGTTCTATGAAATGCATTGTGTAAAGGATATCAAACATTTTATTGTTTATGTTACTGTTACAATACACCTAGTGAGGAATCACTTGCTATTTCAAGCCTTTAAGCAGTTAATGAGAAAGAACCATAGAATCTGTCATGGAGTCTCTTTAGGCATTTTCTTCAAAGGACAGGCATTAAGGCCCTGATCTCTCTGTTATAAAGCCAGCAGAAGATAATGAGTCAGTATGAAATTCACTTTTCTCTTTTTATATTTGATCTACTGGGCAAAGCTAACAAAAGGCTTAGGTAAGGACATGTCACCTACTTCTGCATAACCAGTGCAGTAAGCTATTCTGTGCTGTTTCCATAGGGAGAGCATCTAGTCATTTTAATGTCCCCACTGCTAAAACTATTTATTTGACCTCATAGTTTTTTGAACTTAAAGACTCTTTCAGGCATGAATCCCTCACTTTCAGAACATTACTTACTTTCTTCAGCTGCTGCTACACATGGTACAGTGTTTGCAAAGCTGAAAAATTTACAATTGAATACACTGCAGGTTTTTATTGACTGTAGGATAGTAAGTATAAAGACATGTACTGGGATAAAAGCCTGAGCTAGACCTGTGAGAGACTCCTGTTAAGATCTTGTCCCAAGATTTGTGTAGGGACAGCATTTGTACAGTTCAGAGCTCTCTCTCACAAAAAAAAAAGAAACCCAAACCTCTGAAATGTGTGATGTATGGCAGCAAACCCAGCTCATGACACCAGCTCTACAGACAGTCCTCACCCATCATTTTTTGTTATGAGTCAGGATCTCAGTCATGTCGTTACCAGTCTTATTGTTTGCAGCAGCAGCCTTGTTTTGCTTTCTGGAACAAATGTTCGTGAGACATCAGGGCAATCCCATGGGGCCCTGAGCCCTGGTCATTAGGAAGGGACCACAGTGTGCTGAATGGTCTCAGGCCGTGTGTTTGCTCCTCTCTTTGCACACTTCACTGTAGTACAACACGACCACTACTTGGTCTGATGTTTAGTCTGTGGTGTGTGGTTCTGTACTGGATCCCCTGGCATTTACAAGTGTAAGTACTTACCTCAAGCAGCAGTCTGTGTACAGTGAGGTGTATATCCTTGTATCAAGATACCTGCATTATATTTAAGACAAATTGATTGACAGGGTTTTTGTTATTTTTTTTTTTTTTGACTACATGTGATGTGACACATGCTAAGGTTGGTAATAGCGGTCTTGGCAGTTGTTTTAGGAATGTATGCTCTGGTTTCTTATAGTGGACTTCCTTGCTAGCAAAGAGGCTTCATTTCCTGGTAAATCCAAATTGACCAGAGTGCTTCAAAACAGCCAGGTGAATCTGGGGTGTTTTGAGGAACTAACATTTTAACAAAGTGGTTTCTAAAACCTCTGGCTCCATATACAACAAACTGTTAGTAGTTCACCAAGCTGCACATGCTTCCAGAAGAAGCATCCAGCTGCTTGGATAAAATCATATATCACAATTTAGAAAGACCTGTCTTAGTGCAGGTCATCTGGATCTCTGGCAGCAATGCTACCACTTGGAATCGAACTGTCAAAATAAGTTGTGTTATTAGAAATGTGTAATTAAAATGACCTAATTAAATTTACTATTGCTGTGGATCGAGAAGCAGTGAAACTCTGGAGTGAATACTTTTGTTTAGGACAAATTCTAGTGGAAAAGGGCACGAGGAATTTTTTGTTGTCTTTGTATGAAGGATTTTTCATGTTACCATATGTTATAACTGAAGAGACATAACTGAAGATTGTGATAAGTATCTCACAGCTGAAAGAACAGTTAAATCTTTAGTCTTGCATTTAGTTTTTGTTGTTGAGGATTAACCTTCTTTATACTAAATCCTGAGCAAACAATACGGTTATACAAGTACCTTTGTTTTCTTCATCTGAAATAAATATACATACTTTCCAAGCTACTTCTCAAGTGCTGAGCTGTCAATACTACAACAGTAAAGAAATAGTGTTCCTGAGGCTTCCACAGATTAGACGTATACTGTGACAGTCTAAGGAATCTTCATAGAATTCATGTTTTCAGTTGACAGAACTGAAGGCAGACTTCCAGTACCAGGAGTCTAACTTGAGGACAAAGATGAACAGTATGGAGAAAGCTCATAAGGAAGCTGTGGAACAGTTGCAGGTGAGTAATTGCTTATCAGTACTTGAGAAATACTTCAGATGAACTCATGTGTTCAGACTGTTCATTCACAGCAATGGAGTTGTACAAAGTTCTTGAATGGTTGTTGTCACATTTAGGTTCAGATGCATTGTACAGCAGTTGAGTAGTCAGCAGACAATTGCACAGAAATCAAACTCACTGTAAGATTTGCTTCCTGACTTCGATAAAGGCTTGCCTCATGTGCTTCCTCAAAGGTTGTGTTACTTATTTGTGTCTGATCTCTGATACCTGATCAGTTGTCAGTGTGCTATTGACCTGATCTAAGGGCTCAGCATATTTATCAGGAAGAAAGCATGAATTAGTTGCCTTCTAAATCCCAGACTGAACAGATACTCAGTGCAGTACTTCAGATACTAAATTTTGCACTTCAGAAATGTGGCTACCTTTTCTGTTAAAGATGGTATAGGCATATCAAAAAGTATATACAAATCTTTGAAAAGTGGTCGTTACCTTGAATATTCTCAGCATGTACATTTTGGGAATTGGTTTCATACATGCGATGGGAGATTAGTGCGTGACACTCCTCAGACATTTTGGTAATTCACAAAACATTTTTTCATCTATATTGCAGGCCAAAAACAGAGAACTGCTCAAACAGGTTGCAGCATTGTCGAAGGGTAAAAAGTTTGACAAAAGTGGGAGCATACTAACATCTCCTTGAGGAACTGGTTACTCCTGGGGTTTGCTACTCAATGTAAATTTGAGTAATTCTGTGGAGCCCTTAAAATCCCATGTAGTGGAAAAAATATTTTTGCACACCAGAATAGTTGGCATGTTTCCTACACATTTTTATAATTAATATGCAGCTTTTTTTAGTTACCGTTCAGATGAAATACTTCAACTGGATTGAAGAATGTTTTTATTTTTTTGATATTGGAACCTTTTTGCCAGCAATAGTATTAAACAATTGCATAGAGAGCATGGCAGTGCTCTCTCTAAAAGGACAACATGCAATAACAAACTAGGTGTACTTTTTACAAAGCAGCAACAAAGTCTTTTAAACTACACTGATGTCAGCCAAAAGTTTATGAATTTGCAGTGACACTGAAGGCTGGTTTCTGGCAACTGTTCTTTTACTTTGTATCAAAATGCAAATTTAGAACGGATATCATGGTGCTCTCAAGTGAAACAAAAAAAAGGCTTATATGTATGTGTAAATACAACTGTAACGGTTATATTCTTAGTTATAACAAGTAATTAGTGTTTTACATTCTTGTGATAGGGATTTACCGAAAGATTATCTATTGTACAGTTACAGAGGCAGTGTGGTTTTTGTAAGATTTACTGTAGATTTTTCTTGCAAGTGCCTTTCTCCAACTGTTTATTTATAGGAATGTTGGTATTTTGTACATAAGGTTTTTATGTTTTAAAATCATGTTTAATAAATGTTTTATGTAAATATAAACGTGTGTACAGAGGAATCTGAAACAAAGTGGCTAGTGCAGTGCTTGAAGCAGCGTGAAGAGCTAGCCAATTGATGGACAGTGAGTATTGGCTTTAGATGACCTTTGTAGCTTGTGTCTGTGAGGTGTAGAATTTTGTTAGTGCTGCTCATGCCAAACACTTCCTGAACAAAGAAAAAAAACCCAAAATCTTATTTGCCACACTGGAGTTGAATGGTTTGTTTATATATTTTTCCCCATTTGGCACAGCGCTAATTTTAATTCCGTTGTACTCCCAATGTTACATCCTTAGTGATACACAGTCCAAAGTTTTTTAAAAAAAATTATTCCCCTTTGTCCAATTTTGTACTTAGTTGTAACTTATGATGATTCTTTTTAATGAATTGCAAGATTCTCATCCCCCACTAAAGATACACAATGAGAAAACAGAGCCAAAACTAATGGTCTTTAAATTAAGGAAGTGAATGTGGTGTCAAAGGTTGAGTTGTTTTAATGTTTTGCGTAGATCTTGATTCTAAATTACATCAGTTTAAGTTTAGCTCTGCTCCTAACAGACATCAGTCATATTCAGAAATTTCTGTTAAATGTAGTTTAGTAGCCCCCAGGGTCTCTGTTCAGGAAAATTGGTTCAGAAATGGCATAAAGTGAGGTAGGCTTATATGAGTAGAGGTTTAGTTCAGCGCTGGGTACTGATTGGTAATAGGGTAACTGCTTATATTTCAATAAGCTTAATTGTGTAGAATAAGCTACACACCTTTCAATTAAAGAACTAGTGTCTAAAGTTCTTTGGCTGTCCACCCATGTACTGAGCTATGAACACCTTTTCAGTAGTTCAGACAAATTACAGCAGTGACAGACTAATGAATAATTTTAAAACATCAAGCTATTTGTTTCATATGGTATATGTGTATTTTTATACCCTAAAACCAACTTTGTATGTTTATAAATGCTCTTCTTGAAAACTGCTAAGCTGGGGTAGAGAATGCTGCTCTCCTTTGGGAATGTTTTGAGGTTTTTTAATGTACAAATTTATGACTTTCATTAATTCAGTATTAAAAGCATTTTGATAACTTTTTTTTTTTCCAGTTGAATGGTGACCCATGCTTGGTGAAATTGGTTTTCAAACACAGAAATGCATACCAAATTGAAATGTTTGAATTAAGACAAGTTAATTATATATGTCCAAACTTTAGTGAGGACATTTTAAAGGAACAAAAGGAAATCCTGTTTTAGAAATAATTGACTTTATCAATCCCAGTCTGAAAAATTTTAGGGTCTTCACAGTGTTTAGTACTAATCAAATACCTGCTGTTTTTCTTCCATAATCTATTTTTTAACATAAATCTTTTAAAGTTCTGAACAAGCCAACTGAATCCCAGTCCTGAAAATAGTGTCCTGGAGCTGTAGATTGACATAATAAACTGATGTTCTTTAAACATGGATCTGCACGGGAAGTGTTGTACTGTATTGTGCTTTTTAGCCCGTTTCCAGATGTTGATTAGCGTTGAGCAGTAATGGCCATTTTGGCTCAAGTTATTTATGTACTTTAAGCCTGTGAATATTGCAGCCCCTTTTCAGATAGTATGTCTAAATATGTGTTCTGCTGTGAAGCTATTCAGCTGTCCACATGTATAGACTATTGAAATACTGTACTGGCACACATCTGACCGTTGACATTTTGTACCTTTTCTAAATCCAATGTTTCACAATAAAATCTTGTCAAAACATTATTCTGTCCTTCTAAAATTATTCAGAAATTCATATTCCATGTTATTGCATCACTCTGACACTTGCTAAAAGTCTGTGGCCAAGAAAGGCAGAATTTAACATTTCTACTTAGTATTTAGATTTCTGGGAAGATTAGACACCTTGGTCTGTCTACAAATTGTAACAAATTAGAACTTCAGATTCATTTCTCTTAAGAAAATGTTTTGGTCTTCTACAACAGGATTATAATACCTAGAAATATTTTCTTGTAGAGAATAAAAACACCTTGAGATTTAACTGGTATCTAATGACGTTTGATAAAGCCTTCAACATACTTTTTATGCTCTGGTTAACATCAGCAGTTGCATTTAAAAGTACCTGAATTTCAGTCTTAGTCTGTCTAACCATAAGATTATTTTTCCTTTACAGACATTGAGTACAAGTTAGGTGGTTCTGAGATTCAAAGTGACATTAATAATTTCTATGCCCACTCCCTTTGTTGTCTTGGGATGAGTTAGGTGCCCACACCAACATGCTGTCAGTCACAGTCTCATTTCATATTTTTCTCAGCATTCAGTCCTTCATCTTTCCACAATCCATCAGAACACTTCGCATTTAAGAATTAAAGTTTGGAGAGGAGAAAAACACAAAACCAAAACACAAATCAACACCAAACACCAGGGGGAAAGAAAACAAAACAAAACAAAACAAAAATAGGAGAGTAAGGTTCTGTAGCTTTCTGGGCATGGCAATTATCTAGAAGGGGGAATGAGTTCTTAGAGCCCTGCTCTTGAGACGGTGCATGTTTTGTGTTAGGTATGGTAATGAGTAATATGCTATTCTAATACTGAATTTTTCTTAGCATCCTTTTCATGCAAATCTGCAATGGGTCTGTTGAAGCAATTTATTTTTAAAGCTAAGAGCAAAGCCTAGTACCTAGTTTAGATATGGCTTCCATGTGACACATGAAGACTTGTGTAACTGGCCGTGTAACAGATTGACTTCTGAAGAGATTTACATCATTTGAAGCAAACTTCCTTAAAAAAGTGTAAATTGACATAACCTGGGTGAAGGCACGTAAGCAGTTCTTAATGGGCACCAGTAGATTCAGAATCGCAGAATCCACACTGATATTTTTTTAAACACTGAACTTTATGATTGCAAACTATAATCTTAAAGTTTTAAAATAGAGTAAAATCTGTTCATGTCATTTTGTTCCTTCAAATGAGTTACTAAAACATTGCTTCATTTGAAAATACTGCATTGGAAGATAAATTTTCTCATGTATTATGTGTATTTCCCTTAGCTCTCATGGAAAAGGCATTCATGTATATAAAATCACTTTTATTGAATCCCAGAGAAGAGGTAGGAGGAATATGGCAAGGATGTTATTCAGGTAGGAAGAGATGTTTGAGGTGCTCCTGGGGAGAGAAAGAGGGTAATGGAGGCATGAGGTGTGATGAGGAAGAGAAACCTCTGAGATACCACAGTACTCATTTAAGTGATGCACTGAATCACCTTTGGGGTTGTTTTTTAGACATTATCTGTATGTTCAAAAATGTCAGCTCTTTAAGGTAAAACATACCACTGCTTAAGGGAGTTTTTTGTTTGTTTTAGGTAAAGCTCTAACAGAGAGTGTACCATTGCCACAGCTGGGTAGTGGAACAAGATTCAACATCTGACTTGAACTGTCTCACACATTAGACAGAAATTGTCCTTAAAGGTGTGTCACTCACCAGCACATGAATCATTGACATTTTCCCTTGCTTTAACCCAAACAGAAAACAAGTCTGGATTTGCCCCTTTACCTTTTGAAAAGTTCATTGTAGTGTGCTGGTCTGGTGTAACTGACCTCCTTCCTCCTGGCAACTTCTCTTCAGTTTCTCTCCTGGTGGGTAAAGGAAATTTTGCATTTTGACTGAATGGGGTTTAAGTACCATGGATCCTGATAAGCTAAACAAGCCAGGTGAAAGTGGGGATTTGTTTATAGAGTGTAGATTTTCCTTCTGCTAAGGCTTTCTGACACTTGGGGTACATGGATAAGTTAATGTATTTTTAATTGTCCATTGGAAAATACGTATTCCAGCTTCTGAAGACTGCTAAAGGTTGAAGATAAACCTGTATCATCTTTGCATACAAAAGGTCAGTCTTAGAGGCCTAAGCAGAGGAATGCTTTTACAGTGCCTTGTTTTGATTGCAGGAGGCTTGGGGACAAACAAAAATACATAGGACCAACAAATCGGTCAGAGTTGCTTTGGAGCACAGTGACGTTGTTACAGGTTGGGTCACAGGAATGTCATGTATTCCTACTATGGCTTCTGCAGGTATTAGAACTTGCAGCCTAAGCTCATTTTTGCCTCCAGCTGTGATACCCCTCCCTTTTTTAGTAATTTATAGCAATCTATTTTGAAATGTATGTTGAAAACTTGAAGATGTTTTCCCTTATTTGAATCAACAGGTAAATGGGTTTTGGTTTATTTCAATAAAAGGTGTAACACGTTCACAAGTTATCCTACATGAGGTACATCAAATCATGTCTTTTCATTTTGTGGAAATCTTGAAGGTCACTTGTATTTACAGATGTTCCTTGGGAAACTTTTTAAGCTTCTTAGACAACTCTTTGCATAGTGGTTTACTTTCTGCAGGATCGTGTGTTCATTTGCCCCTACATTTGTATGCTCAAAATTCCACTGCAACGTAAATGCAGAATTATTTCCTGGAGTGTTTTTGTACAGATGTGGTCTGCCCTTGAAAATATTTTGTGACTATTTTGATTAGAATTCAACTTATAAAAAATTATTATTAGCTAATAAAAAACTGTTGGATCAATTTACTAACAGAAAGGTGTCTTTTTCAGGTGTAGATTATTCCTTTTGTTGGATGTGAATGTAAAATGAGGAATTTTCCTTCATTTAAGAAGGAGAACTGTACCACATAAATTAGTGTGTTTACAAGTGTGATGTATTAGAACATAAAAAAAACCTTCCACAAAGGGGAAGAGTTGCAAGGCTGTGTTTGCTAGGATGCTGGGAAGCTAAAACATTGATCTAGCTGACTGCACTGAAGCCCTCTAGTAGCACTCACACGACGTGTTGCAGTGCTGTGGTCACACAGCACATTGCCAAGCACATTACTGGGAACAGTAATTTCAATCATCCCTTCAGACTCCACAGGAATTTCCTTGCTGGTCACTTACAGGCCTCAAGGTGCAGTTTTACTATCATAGTGCAAGAACTTTTGTCTTACAACAGTAACACCACAAAAGTGGAGTGAGCTCTCCATTCTTCCT